ATGGAATTATAACAAAACCTGCCAATTCAATATAAATGGAAAAAAAATATTATATGGAATTGAACGAAAATGAAAATTTGCTTGATAATTCAACTACGCTTGTTGGAGAACAATAAAAACACTACACTCAACAAGCCACCAATAAAACTCAACTGCCTAACCTATAACCAAAGTCTCCTTTTAATTTGTTTTTAAAAAAAAGCGCTTGACAAACTTGCCCTACATGCCGAAGTTGCCCCGGTCTCCCCTATATAAAAAAATTGTAAATGCTAATAACGAGTAAAATCGTCATTAAGTTCGACTCTACTGAAGATATGACACACGACCCCCTTTATCACTCCATCCCCTCGATCTTTAACCACTAAAATTTAATAGCATTAACACCCTTAATACATAAACCTCCCTGCAAAATTTCAGAAGTTTTCGACAAAAGGCACAGGAGATATTAAGCTTCAAAGTAGGTGAATAAAATCGTGCCTCTCAAATACGCACACACATAACATCCATACATACAGGAGGGGAACTCCCAACTTTTTTGCATTTTTCGACTTTTAAAAGACCCTTGAGTCCAAAAATGTAAAAATCTTAAGGAGTACGGTAAATGATTGCCATACTTTCCCTGTGTTATATATAATAGAGCCGGGAAAATAAGAAACCAAATATCTGTAGATTTTTGTCGACTTTAACAGCATTTTATTATTTAAATACGTATCACTTATTCTTGATACTTGATTAATTACAGAAGTTTTAATATTTTATTAAATATTTATAACATTTCAATATGTTGACAACATACATAAATTGAACGTGTGGCAAGATAATTTCAAGTATCATCGTTACACAATGATGATACTTGAAACTCGTACAATTAATATGCTTCTCATGCAATAAGTTAGGCAGTTGTGTAGCCTGACAAAAGATTGGGATGGGGGATTGATGGAAAAAAAACCCAATAATGCTATCTGCTATGAGGAAGGATCCCTCTCAGGAGAAATTTCTGAGATATTGCTTCTATTTTGATGTTTAGACAAGCGTGGAAACCCGGAAAATTCCACTTGGCTAGCCTACAGGTGGACGCGGATTCGTACCCACCTGTAAACTATCGACCAGTGATCATGGTGAAAAAGCCTTAAATATTAATGTTTAAATATAAATATTTTGCAAAAAATATAATAAATTTATATTTATTTTTGTTATATCTAGATTTAAACCGTATAAAGACACAATACTCATTTTATAAAGTTTATAGGAGAATCTATATTATTAAATTGTATACAAAGCACGTTTAAGACACTTTGAAACCATATTAAAACGATTTTATTGTTTTATTGTAACTAAACTAATGTATTCAGCTAATAATATAGAAATAAGTATAACTTACAACAAGTACAATGTATACAGTGGGTGATCGGTTAACGAACAAATCGGATAACGAACACTTTAGCGAAAGATTTTTATGTTCGGACAACGAACACATGATCGGATAACGAACACCTCACAGAACAAATACAAGAAGAAGCGATGTAAAATAATGAATACCGATTGGTCTTCTCATGTCTTCGGGAAACAATTCAAAACTTTTCGGAGTGTGAGAAACGTCGACATCAACGCTCAAGCCTGTATATACCAATCGGATAGTATTCCTCCGAACTTTGAAACTATCCCTTGTAATTTCAGCCTTTTATTTTTCTGACAAAANGCATACAGCGGCTGGTACAAAATGAAGAACAATGTCTGCAACGTGCGGATCGTAGGTAAATTTCCTGAATTTTGAGAAAATATTGCGAAAACTCGTGATGTAAGTGCGAGATTAACAAACTTCTATTGTGATTTAACGAAAATTTAAAAAAAAAAACCTGTTTGTTTCGTTTCATAATTTTCTTTACAGTTTTAATTATTTTTCTCTGTTATGAGATATAGTGTCAAAAGATTTTTCATTAATTCAACAATAACTTTGTAACGATAACAATCGATAATGCAACAAACTATTTTTTGAAAGAAAAAGTTTTCTTTTGTATCGAGATTAACAGCAGAAAGTATAAAAAATAATAACGAAAATTAAATTAAAAAGTACGATATTATAACACAAATATCATAGCTTAATATTTCTACAGAGTTAACAAACACTTTTTATATTTTACAAGTAAAGATATAGTAAATCAATATATATATTTATATTTTTTAATGTATTTTTACTCATATTTTTTGTATATTTTTATATGTGGTGTGCCACAGAATTCTGGAAAGTACCTAAGTGTGCTGGGCTTGAGAAAAGATTACACAGTACTGATCCAAAGGATGCACGACGTAATATTTAACATTTACTAAAACAAAACATCACAAAATTATGTGAAACAACTTCAATAAACAAATTACCGTAAAATTTTTAAAGTTTACTTCAGCTTCCATTTATTTCCAGGAATTTCCGCATACTTCTGTTAGTAGCATTCCAGTCTTTAATAATAAAATGAGGGTGCAAAATGTCTTTCACAAACTAAATCTGTTGATTTGCAAAGTACAGTATATCTTTTCTAAGAATCATTCGCCGCCATTTCATTGATAATTTTAGAGATCCCTTACTTTTCCTTTCTTATACCGTGGTTTGCATCATGTGTGGATTATTATTATTATTAATTAATTTTCAATTGTTCAGCAATATATTAACTTCCACAAGATTAATTCTTACAGCTGATACAAAAGGTAATAATTTAGCTCTTATTTTCAAGTTTAATGACATCGCAGTCTTCATAATGTAGAAGAGTTTTTTTTAATGTCTAGATAATATATATATACAGTATATATATTTAGAATTTTATAAAATCTTCAATACAAAAATAATATAAATTTCCTGTGAGAAAAAAATAGGAGTTGATTCTATAAAATTTTAAGTTCTTAAACTTAGAGAAAAAAATAAATTGAAAGAATACAGACAATATTTATCATGAGTTAAATAATTTATGTCAAAAATAAAGGAATCTCAATTATTAATTTATCAACTGACAACTACAGTATTAGTATTGCAATTAAGAATTTAATAGTGCAATAATAAAAGAATATATTTCGAAATCTAAAATGAAAAATGTATGAATTATATGTTTTAGAAATATAGAAACAAAAATGCATTAATACAAAAAGAAATTTTTAAAATTTTTATGTTAAAACAAAAATGAGTTCTATTATGTTTATAATACATCTATATCATTTATATTTTACAATATTGTTTATCTAGAAAAACAATACATCTGTATTTAATTAGTAATAAAGTATATAACATCATATATATAACACTTTTGTACGCATAATTAGTCTACGTGTGAAAAAATTAAATTATATTAGAAAAATGTCGATCTAAAAGTAATAATTATCCACATAGTCTCAATAGTAAGTGATTATAGAATAAATTCAGATTATCTTGTAATCTAAACCACACTATTTGTGTTTAAATAATATTTTACTAATTAATATAAAGACTCAAAAATTTGTTTGTATTCGCTAGTCTACGAAGTTTTTCCTTAGCGTTGTGGAGCAATCGTCGACTGTCCATCTAATAGGAACAAATTGTCATCGATAACTTTATTTCGTAGAGTTGCATGACCAGTAGAATATACGGACCATGACTCAAAGGTCTATTCTTACTCACGACTGCCACAGCATTTTGTGGTGGCGTTAATGAAATGTAAACAATATGGCTACGAATCGAGGACAGCGTGTGGATGTCTTTTAAACTTCATATAAAACAATGGTTCGATATTGCTTTGTGCCCCAGTGCAAATATAAACATGGAGATTATTATAATGAACAGAAAATTCTCTTTTACAAGTTTTCAGTAGAAAGAATATTAAGAAAAGCATAGAAAGTATAACAAAATCGATGATTATTTCTCGGCAGTTGAATAAAGTTTTTCAGTATAAGCTGCGACTTATTTGACCTACTATATACAGTATAAAAAAAGAACACATAATACCTACTTAATCTTTACTAAATTAGGCAAGTAGGTAGGTACCTAAATTGCAAACCAAGCCTTTAAATTAATAAGAGATCGCAAATAAAAATTGATAAATCATTTATGACGGTTTTCATTGCCAGAACAAGTAAAAAGTAAAAATGGTTATATTCATTTGTGAACAATTATCTAAGCCTTCAGATGTAGATTATCTAGGAGATAAATGTGTACTTCAATTCTCCATTATAATTTTAGTAAATGAAAGACAGTAGACCACCCTATAACACTGTAGATAATTCCGTGTTATATGAATTCCATGTTGTACAAGTCACTTAGATTTTACAAATACGTGTGCCGGGCTGTGAACGGCTTGCGTATTTGTACTGGACTAACAAACTTACGGAGAATTACATTGTCTGCCCAACAAGATTCACTTGCATCAGGCAGCCATTGATAACTCATTAAGACAAGTAAAAATTATTATGAATGTCATTAAACAGCAATATACAAAACCCGTGGCGAGAAACTTAAAATAATTAAATAAAAAACACGACCAAATAGGAGCAGCAGCCACAAAAGGTGGCTTTACTTGGTGAGAATTATGGTGTGCACCGCATGCTTGCTTTAGTGAATATCGTAATTTTCTAGGCTGATATGCTATGGTAACTACAAAGAAACCTTACGCGTTATAATGGGCAAATGGGTGCTTGCTGTGGGTGGCAAGGTCTTTAAAAATAGATCTGAACACGAACGTTAACTTATGTATGGAGTCGCCATTTTCAGACTTTTTCAATAGTGCAGGTTTTAAACAAACTAGTACGAGCAGTTAATTTTATACGATATTAAACTAAAATTACATAAATCAATGAGATTCCAGTCTAATAATCATTTCGGAGATTATGCAACGATAATTTTATGTAATTTGATCAAAATGGTTTAAAATAACGAACATCCTTATCATTTGTTGTTTTGATTGAAACTAATCAAATTAATAATTGCTTTAGTTTTATCACGTATGTAGGCATTTCCTAAATCAATAATATCAATGAAAAATCAAAGGAACTATACCTCTATATGTGACACTTATACCTAGAAATCAGCCTACAGCCTACTTCCAAGCGCTATACGAGTCACGCTGCGTGCTCCTCTAAACAACTAAATCATTAATCAACTTGTTTTTAATACTAAAAAACAATAAATAAATAAACAATTTATTTTTTAAGCGGTCCAAAAAAGTAGTAAGTCGCACAAATGTAGTGGCTTAATTAAACGTACAAATATCTCAATCTGCCACTCGTAGGCCAATTTGGCAATCTCGAAAACCAGCCGTATTTTATAAGATAAGAAAAAAAAGGGGTAGTCCATGGGTAAGATGACACCCGAAAATGTGTTACTGTAAAAGCAAAGTCATATTGACCGTATTAGAGTTGTTCTTGGTCTATTGTTCTCTTATATCATGGAGGTACTATACTTCGATTTAAACGAACGAGTTAACATATGCATATGACATTTCCGATAGTACTGTACTTTCACTTCGAATTTCGAAGAAGCCGAATCCCTTAACACGTAAATATCTATATTGCGACAGGGACAAAAGTACATTTACGAACTAACAGGATTTCGTACTATCCGAGTTCGAATTAACAAGGATTTCCTGTATTATACTATATTACAGTATTACGAAAAATTGTTGAGATCGTATACATAAAATTATTTGATATCATTTATCAATAATTCTATGCATTTGATACACTATTTCGCAATTTAAATAAATCATAAAAACGTAAAAACGAATTGTTGATAAACGATAATGCGCTCACCTTTTCAAGACGTTAATATATTTAAACACTCTGCCTTTTATCTCATAAGCAGTATAAATTATAGGTTAACCTTGTTAATTTTTTCAAAAGATTTTTTTTTTATAAATGAAAGTTTCTTCTATATAATTTCTTCTATAATTTATAAATTATATATATTTGTACATGAAAATTATATATAATTAACCTTCTTCCTTCGTGAATAATATGAGCAATGAAAACTTATTCAATCGATTTTGACAGACAAAAATTATTAAAACAGTTTTTGCTTTTCGAAATTATACTATTTTTAAAATATTTGATACTAATATTTATAGATTTTGTATTACAAAAATAGCAAAAGAATAGAGAATGGATACTCCCAAAACGTTAATTTAATAGTTTGCTTTCAATTTAATTAATTATATTTCCAGTTTTTTGCAAAACACATTTTTACTCACAATATAGTAGCTTAATTTACTGGCATTTCTTACTGTAATTATGCAAGTAATTCTAAGAAAACACTTCTTATAAGATGACAATTATGAATTAGAGTACTGTACCTGTAAAATGTTTTGAAAATTAGATACTAGATGGCGCCAGCAGCATACATGTTTCATATGTATAATAATATGCTAAACATTATATCTGTAATACTTGAAGATTATGTTATATACTGTTGTAAACATATAAAATTGTATAATAAATGTTATTTATATAATTAATTTTTTAGCATTTTTAACATTATTTAATGTCAGCTTTAGAAAGTTTTAATAGGTAATTCCGGTTGTGTTTGACCAGACTGACAATGGAGATCCTGGACGAATATATCAATATATAAAGAGAAAATGGGGAAATAGAGGAAAATAGAGCAGAACATAACTTCCTATATTTTATGGCCAGTGGATGGTGCAAACTAAGCGAGAACTGCAAGAACTTCATAACTGACCCAATAGCGCTTGTCTACAGAGATCACAGTGAATTGTTATCAATATCCTGAAATACACCTTTCTTTCAGCAAGATATTATAATTTTACTGATTCTTATTCTCACAATAAGTCAAACACACCCGGAGAGGGCCAAGGGGACCTGATACTGTACCTCCAAAGAAAATGTTTCAAAATTTGTTTTATTAATAATCCTGGGCTTCCACAGTCAAACATAACAAATTAATGTTAAGTATTATACGCACTGCTATTTATGCTTATATGCTTATATTCCTTTGAACTGCACATCATATTACTTACATTGTAATCCTTCATAGATTAACAACCTTCAAACATGACCTCTGCGTCTGGGGCAAGATCTGTTGAAGGTGTGAATCGTTTGCCAAAACTACCTCAAATGGGCTCATAATTCACGTGTTAAGAGTGGACAGTGACGATGAAGTTGCTATTCTCACTTGTAAATTTTTCTGATTTATTCATACAACGTGATTATCTGACAATTAAAAATAATATTCTATTTAATATTATAAATATAAAACAAATAAAAGTAAATTTAAAGTTCTTCGAGAAGATTCATATCAGACATCCTCTGAATGATTGTTTCAAATCATCCTTCCTTATCAGATCAAGTGATGGATAAGGGAGTAGAGAAGATCGCAATTCCACTTTTGCCAACATTAGTAGATGTTGAGAACCAAATCTCCCTCCGATATCGTCGTACTTGTTCAAGATAGAGAGATGTGGGTAAATTTGATCCTTGCATACAATCACTTTTTATGTTTACTTCGTTTCCCAAGTCGTAAATGCAGTAATTAAAATGAAATTTAAAAAAAATCCAGCAACGAGTTGCTTATCTTTTCCGGCAATATTTGCTAGCACCATTTGTTATGATATCTTATTTTTAAAAACTTTTTATATTATTAATTATAATAAAATGGCAAAAAGTTTAATTATGAGGGTAGAGATGAGTTTTATAAAAAAAATTGTAAATGTTAATACAGTAACGAGTAAAATCATCATTAAGTCTAGCCCTACAGGAGATACATACGACTCCCTTTATCTCCTCAACCCCTCGACCTTTAACCACCAAAATTTAATAGCAGCAATCCCCTTAACAAACAAACCTCCCTGCGAAATTTCAGAAATTTTCGACTAAAAGCACAGGTGTTATTAAGCTTCAAACAGAGTGAACAAAATCGTGCCCCCTCATATCAATACATACAGAAAAACTCCCAAAACTTTTGCATTTCTTGACATTTCAAGGTGTTTTGAGTCCAAAAATGTAAAAGTTTTTGGGGTCATTTTGTGACCAGTCGTCATACTTTCTCTCTTATGTTACATATAATAACCTCTGTTATATATTCACATAACAATAAAATTGTCAATTCTTCGCAATTTTTATTTACAGTACTTCTATATCTGAAAGATAAAGTCTAATTTAAGAAAAACAAGTAATAAATTGTCCAAATTTTCAATTACTCACGCATATTTTCAGACAGTTAAACAATTAAGTCAGTTTCATACAAAACAGACTATTCCATTGTCTTGCTTACTTGTCACTTGGATACATTCTACATTAAATTCTTATAATTATGCATTAAGAAAGGAAATTAAATTATTTTAATAAATAAATATAATCTGCAGAAGATTTTGATTTATTTTTAAAAGTAAAGAAGCGGGGATGGAAAAAGAAATGGCCATAGTTTTAAAAGAGAGAGAAACAATAAACTAGATCCAAAAGCATAAAAGTAAAGCAATGAAGAGTAGAAACGTTGAAAAAATATCTAAGTGACTTAGAAAGAGAGATAATAAAAAACGAATATATTAGAATTATATTGATTTTAAAAGTTGAGAATTTACTTTTCTTGCAGAAATCGCATAGAAGTAAAGTAAAGTAAAGTAAAGAAAAAAAAAGGGGGGTTTAAAATCGAAACCATTCCATCATCTAACTTCAATTTCAGCTTATAAAAAAGTATTAATTTACTACAACTTATATACTTTTTAACAACAATTTAATAAACGAAATTTATTAATAATCGTTTACCTGTAATTCTTAGAGAATCTGCAGCTATTACAATTTCTTTGCCATCAGCATGGAAGAGAATTTCTCCATAAGGATCCTTTACCGTAAATTCTTCTGCCATTGATTCAATTTTTGATTCTCCTAAAAGCAGTAAAATGTTCAAAAGATTTCGAATTTCAATTGAATGTAAGAAAATATAATTAAAAATTTAAATCAGCGGACTTTTTTCTTACCTACAACTAACCTATTTGTTATAATTCCTTCGTCATTCCTGGCATTCAATGTGATATTTCTCATAGATTCGAACTTTAAAGGTTGCTCCTAGAAATAGAATTATTTTATTTTTTTTTTTTTTAAATTTTTTCCCCTTTATGGGAATTTTCTTAATTTGTTTCAATGAAAAATTGTTTGTAAAATATACAGTATTTATATCGAAAATTTGTCATAAAAACTAATTTTTATTCTGTCGCCATCTGTTGAGAAGAAGCATAATTAATCTTGTGTAATGCGAAAAACATTTAATTACGTAAAGATATATTGCTTATAATATATTTCGGCAATGAAGCAGTGGAACACCTCAATAACTACTCAATAAACCACAAGATACACAATAAATGTCTCTAAGAAAAACAATTTCAGTGTAAGTTTCTTCTTACATCAGATCGTATCCAACAGTAGGAAATTAACGAGAGGGCGCTGCGGCGATAACTATCTATTAACGCCATCTGCACGTCGTATGCAGCGCCGTGTAGTGATTATTCGGAAATTTAATCGTTTCGAACAATATGGAGAATTAGAAAAAAAATTCTTTTTTTTTTTTGTGAATTTTCTTGACGGCATTTTTCTGCTTTCGTTATTATTTTTATTTTATTTTTTTTTTATTGGATTAACGTTTGTTTTACGAAATCAATAGATCGTAAATTCGTGATTAGTGTTTTTCTATTTTAAAATATAAGATATATAAATTGAAAATAGATTTAGAAACGATTTAAGATTATATATAAACTTGGTAAGGGAAAAAATTGCGTAAGATGCAGTAAGTTATACCTTTCTGGAACGAATCTCTGCCGCGTAGAGATAATGGAGAAATTCGGCTTTACCTTCCACCCTCAATCCATTATTCATTATCCTTAATTTTCCCATTCCAGACTGAAAAGATAATTTCATATAATGTTTTATAGATAAAATTTTATTTAAAATAAACCGCTAAAATTTAAGGTATATAAATCGTTTCATATTATCATTCGCACCATTCGGTATGAAATAAGTAATTCATCATTGAGTCATAACGTTGCAGTTTCGTCTTATAATAAAACAAACATTATTTACTACTATTGCGATTAAAGAATGGAACATTTTTACGACTTTCTATGACCTCGAACTGAAATTTTACAGTCAACGTTTATTCTGCTAGATGCTATACCTACGTAAAAAGTATGGGGTCGAGGAAAAATGTCATAAAAAGGTCGTAAAATGAACCCCCTGTCCACTTTAGAAATGTTATTTTTTTTAGGGTCGATGCAAGACACTTTAAGAATATATTTCTCGTTATTGGTTTTTTCCCCCTTTCTTTTTTCTTAAAGTTATTCTATCTTTAGTTAGTGTACCGATTAGAGTATCCGCTTATATACTTACCACTCCAAAATCCATCACACGGATTATCCACACTGTGAGAGCGATATTGATGATGACCATAGCCGTTAAGAGTATGACTAACAAGTATAGACAACGTTTTCTCCAACCGTATATGCCTACTCCGTATATATATTGATTACTGTATGGATCATAATGGATTCCATTTCCATCTACAGACGAAGGAGGTGCTCCACCTGCCCAATCTTGAGATGCTGAAGTAGTTGCTGTGGATGTAGTCTCTCCTCTTCCCATATCTGTAAAATGATATTATATATATTAAATAACGAACAAAGTTTCGAATGTACGGATGCATTCCTAGTTAATTGTGTCGCGTGATAGGTGAATGCTAACGTGATACGACACTTCTACAGATCAGCGCGACGTCCCATCAATTTTAATCACATGAGTAATAGTGCAAAGCACCCCGATTACGCGATAAAACGTGGCTTTAAAAAAAAATTTGGAGGATATCCTTAGTTATAATTCATATTAAATTACAAGGAAGGGATTTCTTTATAGAATTTTTCGATATAAGAATTATAAGTACAGTACAATCAATTTTTCAATTAAAATGTAGTAAAAAGGAAGGCAGATTCATCAGTCCTCCTTGGCGTACCATCTGATGGAACATTACTTAACAGACAATGTCTGGCAGAACGCCAAATTTCTAAGTCGTTATATTTGAAAGAGTAAAATGTTATCGGTAAATTTTCCCCACAACACACAGTGTTTCATGCATCGCTACCTTACACGATGCCTCATTAAGCGTCGATTTTAGTTGTAATCACCCTCTGAACTCTTTCTGCATCACTTTTACTGAACATAATCCTTTAAAGATTTAAGCGGTTTTTGTTTATTTTCATCATTGTGTACCACACGAGAAGAGAATGAAAATAAATTTCGCTATCAGCACATTAAAAACTAGTAATTTAACCACCGAATAATTAAAAAAGAAGAAAATAAAATTCATTTTGTTAACTATAACTTACAAGATTATTTATAAAGTTAGCTTATTAGTTTTAATAAGTTTAAAGTTCTTTAGAATTTATAATCATTCTACTAAATAGTTTATTTTTTTTTTCTCATTTACGATGCGTAATTTACAACTAAAATATACAATTAAATTAGTTATAATATAACTAATTTAGTTGTAAATTTAATAAAATTATTTTAATTATTTCTTTAAATTTATTCCCTCTTTACTGCATAGAAATTTTATGCTAAATTTTGATTTTAAAACGTTCAAAAATACATTATACTTTGGCATGCAAACAGCAAAATCATTGACTGATTGATAAAGAAATTGTAAAGAAAAATCATTTGCCACAATCCGTTTTCGATTTCTTTCTATCACCTTTTTTTTTTATGAGCAAAACACAATTCCTGAAGCAATTCTTTCCCTAAAATACTTCCAAGTAAGTTGAGGGAAGAAATTTTTATGTTTGCTCGCTACAAAACTTGATTACCGTTGTAATTCGTATTCTTTCTGGTAAGGAAAGCTCTGTAAACATTTGAAAAATTTACACAGTAGATACTATATTAAACCTTCAAAAAAATCATTCTGTATTGAGTTATTGAGTAATTAAATTTTATATCATAAATTATTGAAGCTTACCATTAAAAATATAAAAGAAAAAAAAAATTGTAAGAGATTACTTTAGAAGAAAAAAAAAATACAGCAAGAATAACTAACTTCGCAAACTCATTTGCATTTAAACAATGTTAGAATGAGATACAATTTAATGAGAGAGCGTGTTTATTTTACAGTATATACAATTTTCTAAACTATATTTTGTGTCATAAAAATGATTATTTTCTTGATACATTATTGCTTTTATGTAGTATGTATAACATATTTAGCTGTTAGTTTCAATAACAGGTTATTTGCTGTTAAAGTATACCTTATTGACCGTATACCATGGTACTGTACTTCTTTAAAAGCTACTTTTGTAAACATTTTTTAATATTTTTTTGTTATCAGGTTTCTTGGTATTTTTAAAAGTGTAGTCACGCATGGCTTGGGGGTCATTATTTCAAATGATTGTCAATTTACTCCCAAGTTGTTCCAGTAAAGTTCTATCACGCTATACTCTTTTAAAACGGGATTATTCTATTTTTGAACCGAAAAATAAGTTAAGAGTGAGGGAGGGATGAAAGTATATCTTTCTTCATGATGTGAAATGAGAAAAATAGTATCACATAAACTTTATGTAATTATCTTTCTTTTCGACTTTTTCTATCAGCCGAAAATCTGTATTATTGTTTTCTATCGAGGAAAAGAAAAAAATTGATGATTCTAGCTATTTTATTTTCTATTTTTAGACAATTTATCTCGTATTTTAGCCCCGAAATTCTCTTCCAAAGCAATGAATTTCGATAGCAGTTGGTGTAATTTAAGTACGTTTATAACAGATTCCAAGTTCAAATTTTCAAATCGAATTAACGTTCTCTTAATGGAAAATAAATTTGTTATTTGCTATTGAGAAGTTAAGTTAAATTATTAACAATTTAATAATGAAATAACTTCGTTATTAATTTAGTTACGTATGGTCTATACCATGTACTGTACAGTACTGTACAGTACATAAGTTACTTTTGATTCTTCTTTTTCTAGGCTAAAGTTTACAGCAACGATTAAATAGCATAAATTCACTTTTTATAAGTTAAAAAGTCAATTATAAAAATTAATATGAAATTAAATTATTAAGAGGGGAAGGTAAATACCATTAAAACGAGAATTATACAGAAAACAAAATTATAAAGTATCTTATCAGAAAAATAAAATATTTTAAATGGCAGAATTAATTAATTTAAAATCTTCTTTTTTTTTTCGATAGATGTTAATTATTTTAACAATGTTTTCACAAGATAACTGCTTTATCTTGGTAATTTTTCACAGAATTTAAAGAAAATAAACATTATCTTTCTTATCTAACAATGCAGGAAGATGTATTTGGCACTACTTTTTTATGATTCTCATAAAAACTTTTATGAAAACCAAACTAAAATGATGCCTTCCTATCAGAAGTTTTTATGTTATTAACGTCTTTTACGCTATCAACACAATTAACAATAATTAGATATTAAAAAAAGAAGAAGAACATTGTGTAAAGGGTGAAAAAATATAATAAATTTAACAATTTTTAAATCCAATTTTTAAAAAAAATTAAATAAATCTCTCTAATCTATTTATTGAATTAACCCTAACTAATTATGTATAATTAATTTTTTTTTTTAATTCCGTTCCTTGAGGTAATATTAAAATGTCTAGCTCTTTAATTAAATTTTAATCAAAACTCTTTCGAATTTTGTAATTTTCGAATAAATATAGGTTTCCAATGCTGAAATATATGGTCGAATGAACACGCAATAGCATATGGTATGGTCAAGAATTATTGATGATTTTATTCCTGTGACAATGTGATTGTCTCACTGGGACCATCAACGTTGGACGACTTACAGTAGACTTTAAACTTCTTACAAGATACGCCCAGCATCACTTTAATAGTATAATATGCGGGCAATAAGCTTGAAGAGTAATAAGCTCCGTGCGTTAGAAGTCTAGCTTCATAAAAAGATACTAACTATTACGAGATAATTAGCCTTAAATGAGCTAATTAATTAAGAAATTATATAAGTATCCAACACAGAATTAAATTTTATAGCATATTTTGTCGGTTTTAATCACATTTAAAGTTGGTTTTCGTAAGAGGAACGATTTTACTAACTTAATAGTATAATGGTTTACGCTATATACTTCATGCGTTAACGATTATCCATATTTAAGTACTGTACTTTCATTGCTGCCATCAATTTCGTGAATTTCTGTATTTTTCCCCTTTCAAAATGACAGAACAGATATATTTCTAATGAATAAAGTGCATAAAAAATCGTTATGCACTTCATCCTTTTCAATATTAAAAGGCAATTTAAGTAATAAAATGAATAAAAATACATTTCATCACACAAAACTTCAATTATTTATATATATATTTTTTTCTTGTTACAATCGTCCATTTACTTTAGATTTATGTTCTCGACTATCATTCTAATTTCATTCATTTTTCACTTAAAATTGTTTTATTACACTTTAAGAATGTAACCGAATTAGATTAAATTATCATTTGAACGATTTTTTTTTAATTGTGTTTAATTAAAATTAATGAAAATTAACTTTAAAATAATCACGTAAATATATCTTAATTGTATACAATCATCTAATGTAGTAAATATTGAAATTCTGTGAAAATTTATTATGTCTACTTATATAAAATACCTGTTAAATATATATATAAAGTATTAAAATAGTTATGAGTTATCAGTAAACACGACAGTTTATTAAAATCAATGAATCAGCAACAAATATGAAGAGTTCAGCATGAGTCATTTTGCTCTTCAAGGATATGTTTGTCCTTCTATAAAAAGGATGAATTACAAGTGACTCAATTACTTTTAATAAAGACGATGGATATGTTAAGAATATAAATCAATAACATTGGATTTAAACGCAAAATACAGTCGACCCCCCTATAACACTGTTGATAATTCGGTTTTATATGAATTCTATGTTGTACTAGTCACTTAGATTTTACAAATACGTGTGCCGGGCTGTAAACGGCTCACGTATTTGTAAAAGCTAAGTGACTCGTACAACATGGAATTCATATAAAACGGAATTATCAACAGTGTTATAGGGGGTCCACTGGTATCACAAGCAGGATCTAAGATGATGCCACAAATGTACTATACGGGAAGGGGTGAAAGTATATCTACTTATGACTTAACCTCTGTTTGCTATATACGAAATTTTGTTTGTCTCTCTATTTGTTATGTCCAGAAACTGCTATCCTCCATTATTAATATCTTCTATATTCGAGCTCTTATTAGCCTATATACAGAGGCCTTACTGGCCTTTCGGGGGGCGTATCTAGAAGGGTGTTTACGGTGTTGCAGTACCCATTTTAATACCAAAACAATCAGTTTTGTTACTTTAAAATAGAAATAAATATAATAACGTATATCGCATGACTTCACTGAGGTAAGATTAGATAAATAATGCTTTAGCCACCCCGAACAACACCCACATTCTCAAAATCCTGATCGTAAGATATCGTTAAATCTTTCAAAATAATAATAATAAAATATCAATTTAATTCTAAACATTTTAGTAAGAGTAATAAATAAGTATAGTAAAGTATATATAATTCAGTATAAATTCATAAATTAACGTAATAAGTAATAAAAAAAAATCAAC